TGATATTGCTAAAAGTGTCTCAGATTATTGATATTATCAGAGGCATATATTTCAAATTGTCAAGTATGATGGATATTTTCATAAATATGTATATAACATAATAGCTGTTTATACAGCATGTCACAAAAGTCTTAGGGCATGTTAAAGTTTTAATAGTTTAAAACTTCCTTAAGACGTAGGACACCCTGTATGGCACTTAAAGGTTGGAAAAGCACTTTACATGCACCTTCCCATTTCACAGATGAGGAAACTGAGGCTCAAGGAAGTTGTGATTTTCCCAGGGCCACACAGCTTTAAGTGTCTGAGGTTAGATTTGAAAGCAGGTCTTCTTGATTCCCAAGGCCAGTGTTCCATCCACTATGCCATGCATTGTCCCCCAGTGTCTTCCCACACACTGATCCTCCCTCCACCACTCCCCCAGACCCTCAGTGTTTGTGACAATCTTGGTCTCTAAATTAAAACAAAGGACAGGACTGTTCAAATTTGGAGGCTCCAAAATAAAATTCATACAACTATAAGACTTATATCTTGGATACGTCTAGACACTTCTTTGTCGTTTATGGTTAATGTTTGCCTGTTTTTAAAGTTTCCTGCATTTTTAGGAAGTCATCTCCATCTTCTAATGTCATCTTCAGGGTTTTGTACCAATACTTTTAAATCTGTTAACCTTTCACATGGCAAACTTCCTCCCATTCCAATTCCCCACTTGAGGGGAAAAGGGGTAGTGTTTTCTGTCCAAACTTAAGAAGTAGTCCCAAGCAGGTGGTATATTTCACCTGAGAAGTAGCTGCAGTTTAAGTGATGAATTAAGATAGCCCTTGGAGGGCCGAGAGTTTTGTTAAATCCATGAGGCAATTAGTCAAAAGGTTTGATTCTATGATCCTACTTCAGAAACATGAATCTTTAGGATTAAGTATGATATCCCTTATTATGCCATTAGGGGATGGAGTATATTTAAAATTTATGGGATCCGGGGGTCATAAGGTTGAGTTACTGTATTTTAGAGACTTAGAGAATCTGGTTCACATGTTTGGACATCTAAATCCACCATCACGAAAATTCTAACAAAAAGTCAACTTTATGTCCTTGACATTTGGGAAAGGAAAAACATGGATCAGGAGGAATAGTAAGGGAATGGTTTAGGAATGAATCCTAACTAAACATGGCACGTTATTTAGTGCTATTAATAAAGATGACGGGGTGGAAAACCAAGTCACAAAAATATTTTGATGTAATGCTTTAGACTGAAAGAAGCTGAGAAAGTATAGGTTTACACTAAATTCATTCCAACCCTTCATTCTTCAGCCGTTATTCTAACAGCAGATGTGCAATGGGATAATTCTCTGAAAGCTCTCATGTCATCTATGAAACTGGGAGATGCAGAAAATAATCTCATAACATGGACTCAAATGCTCTTCCCCTCCCCCTTTTTCCTTTTCTTTAAGAAAAAGGAACAAGTCAACTTTCTAACAAGGTTTTTTTTTAGTAAAGTGGATTCTAAAGAATTTAATTTCAAACCATTAAAGCACAAAAAAGAAGAAAGTCTGAAAACACACACATATTCCCTTCCTCCAATGAGATTACAGGCCTAGGCCCTCTTTATCTATCTGTCTGTCTATGTGTGTATATGTGTGTGTATGTGTATATATGTCCATATATGCATGTAGATATATTGCATATATTTATATATATCTATACATGCATCTATAGCCCACATATAAAGATATATACATAATTCAGATCTTAGTTCTCTTCTTACCTTTGTTTTCTTAGTTTTTTTTCCCTACTTCTCTTAGGAAGTGAATATCTCAAAAATCTGAGGATATGCTATTGACCTGAATCACTAACATTTGGAGAATTCTGGAGCATAAGTTTGTTATCCTTTTCCGTCTTTCTTCTTAGGGTTCTTTTGACAGAGCAGTTAACAGAATACAGCACACTTCACTGAAAAGCTGTGAATTCGTTTCAAAACAATTCCAAAACCCTACTTTTTGCCATTGGTGCCTGAAGGAAGGGTACTTTGTCATCTTTCTTTTTAACACACACACACACACACACACACACAAATTGAATACTGCTATACACATCTCAGGCAATTCTACTGCAGTTTCCTTCATACCGGTTTCCTAAGTTTCCTCCGAAACACTGACAGTCAAGATTTCAGAAAACAACAATAATAACAAAAAACAAAAACAAGGGAGTTGGAATAAGGCAGGATTGAACAAAAGCACCCATCTGAAAAATCTGTGTACTAGCAATTGTAATCATTTTGCAATCAGCATTGTAGATTTCCATGATAAGATGAGTGAGCAGGATACCAAATTAAAAAGAACCAAACCAAACCAAAAAAAAAAAAAGCCCCAGACACCTGAAGAATCACCTACAGGCCTTGCGTTGGAGGTACTCAGTGGCTGTTTACACCAAGTGCCATCTGGCTGTATAGATATAATAACAATTATTCCATTGAGGTATGCAGCTCTCTAAATCATATTAATATACAATGATTCCACTAGTCTTATAGGAGTTGATGTCTTTGTGTGCTCCCATTTAACCTGGGTAATGCGCTAAAACAAGTCTGCCTCATCATTAAGAATTGATTTTTTATTTATGTGAATGTCACTTACAATCCCATGATATCCCTTTGTAATTCGGCGGAACAGGACTGCATTCCAGCGTTAATCTATTTTTATGGCATATCTTTAAAAATTTGCAACATCTTGCTACATTTGGATATTTATACAGAGATTTGTGTTCCCGGAGAAAGCTGTTGTTAGCTTTGGATATCCATTTCATGCAACAATAGGGCAAGCGTCTAATATACTTCATTAGCTATCTTATATCAGATGAGGGCTTATTTCTTTAAATTATTTAACCTTCGTAGAACCTACTGGAATCACATAAATTACACACACACTAATGAAAATCATTACTTAGCCTATTCAAGAAGACAACAGGAATAAAATTTAAAAACTTTTAAAAAATCAACTTTTTAAAGGCAGTTATGAAAATTGTTTGGTAAATTCATCCCACTATTCTCATACATAAAGTTCTACTTGGTCCCTAATTTAGTCATCAACCACAATTCTGATATGCTAGCATTTGTCAAAGGAGTGGTATTGCTCTTTTTTTAAAAAAAATCTAGTTTTAAAACAAATATTTCTGCATATCTCACCTACCACCCTTTAGAAAAATCACCATCAATAGAGCCAAAATCTATAATCTGCTTTATGAGTTATTAAAAATTTGAGGCAACAGTAAGCTGTAAAAAAAACAAACAAGGAAAAAAATAAATACTTTAACTTCTGGGAACCCACACTAAACAATAAAAAAATTACATTTTCAATTACGTATCTCCAGAAGTATATCACAGGATCGTTAACTCATGGGAGCTTTCTGTCATAACACCTTTCATATCCTTATGATATCACAGGGAACAAAAACATATAAATTACCGATTCATTTCTAGCCACGGTTTTTAAGACAGAATTACCTTAAGTCATTCATAATTACTGTGCCTTAGCAGCTCCCAGAGAGTTTTTTACTTGAACAAGTTATAAGACCTTCCCAAAGAACTCTAGTTAAGAGAGTATTACTGCCAACTGTAAACCATGTTGAATGATCAGGCCTAATATAAAGTCTCAAATGCATAGCACGAATTCTTCTAACCAAAAGAAAGTTTTTATCCTAAAACTTGTTTACTTCATTTGTGACCAGTGTCTTTCCAGCCCTCAAGGTGCATATCCCAGACCCAACTGAGATCTTAGACTTAAAAAAAATGTCAAAAACCTACATTTTCCACAAATTTTCAATATTTCGATAGAAAACTGAAATTCATACTAATTATAAGAAGATATAAAATAATATTCTTTGACATGATTTTTTACAATTTATGTTTCATTACTAGGTAATTTACTTTCTGTATGGTAGTGATTATAAATAAATAAAAGAATTTTAAAATTCTATATTTACAGACATATACCTATGTACAAATATAATAGCTATCTACATGAACATAAATTAAAATAGATCTGCAAAGACTTTTCTTTCCTCTGCTCTCTAGAACTATGCAAGCAAAGTTTGCTAGTTTTCCCCTACAATACCAACTTCTAAATGTTATCTGAAAAATTACCCTGCAAAGATGGCAGAAAGGTGACAATTTACCTAAAAGACAATACATTTAGGGTTAAGGTCCCACTGGTCCCTCTCACTCACCCCCTGGAGCCCTATGTTATATCACATGGGTTTGGTTGGGTTACACACTGCACCCATGGCCCATGGTAGGTGTGAGCTCGAAGGAACATTTAAGGCCTTGTTTTCAGTTTCTGAGGCTTACAAGTCAGAACTTAACACATCATCATAATTTCTGTGATTTAATTAGCACTCTCTTATGCCTTCCTTCATTTTAAATAATCTTTCCTTTTAGGAACGTAGCCAAATACAAAGTGAACGACGGAGTGTTAGCTCTGACATCTGCTTTAGGCCCCACTGAAATCAGGGCTGTACAGTGGGAGCAGCACTGACAGGGACATTAATGACAGTGGGCCTGCCAGGCCTTTGCTATAATTTGCTATCTATGATTGTCCCTTTAAACAAAAAGCTTCCCACTCAGCATGCAAAGAAGTTGGAAGGGGGGGGAAGGATGGAGCTGGGGAGGGGGGAGGGTGAGCACGTATAAGAGGAGCAGGAGGGAGAAACTGCAGATCAATCATTTATAATTAACAAAAATCCGATTGGTGCTTTAAATAGAGATCAATGTGTTTCAGGCTGACTAGATTGTGAGGATGTATTCACCTTCTTGTAACTCTCCAAGCAAGCTGTCACACCTACAGAATCACCATTTGTTTTCTTAACAAAGCTTCAGGGGGCGCCAGGCTCTCATTGAAATTTCATTAATCTAATGGAGTAAAGTCCTATAGAAAAAAATCAAATTCTCGTTGGACGAGATGCTACCTGGGAAAGATAACCTCTGTTTGAACTCTCAGACTCTGATCGTTCGGCTATTAGTCTGAGGAAACAGACAGCAACAACGCTGATTACAGCCACTGGCCTCCACAATTTTTTTTTCTAACTAGCAATTTCGAGAACAAGTGCCCTGGTGTCAGCTAAAGAAACACAACTGCGGGTTTTCTCAGATTGAAATGGTTCTGAAATGTCACTGAATAGCTCACAAAGGACAATCTACGACTACAGAGACATAAGCACGTAGGCAGGAGGATGAGAGGCCCGGTATCCTCCTCTTCCAGGTATGTTTGTTTACATGCATGCATGTAGTTTGTAAAGTCACAATAACCCCACAACAGGGGCTTCCCAGGAGTTGAGGCCAGCCTCTTTAAAGGAGCTACGCAGGCTTTTTCCAAAAGTCATGGACCTGGAGGCAAAGGGAGGGAGCAATATATTTGTGTCCAACAATGAGTGTTGTGCAAAAAACAAACAAATCTAACCCATAAATTTAACCCAGTAGTGGTCTGTATTTTGGCTGAGAAGTGTGCCAGACTGTCCCAAGTTCAAGGTCTTAGGGCATATTCATACCCCAACATGCAGCAGCACCCCTGATACCAACATGGCAAAGGTATGGAAATATATGTAAGTAGCATATATGGTGAAAAGACTGACTGTGACTAAGTCAGAATTAACTGTGCAGCACCAAAACAAATGGATAAAAAGTGAAGAATCCAATCAATTGGTCCATACAACTGACTTTTGTTCTTCCTTTTGAAAAAGCCAGTTTGGGGCATCACGAAGTTGCAGCTTAAAAAGATCCAGCCACAATCTAGAGAAGGCTCTGGAGAGAGAGAGCCTACAACACAGCCTATACTTTATCACTGTGTTTCTCAAGGAGAAGTTAGGTAAGGAGCAGTTGTTTGGTAAGATGAGATCATGGCCAAGTTCAGAGCTGTTATTTGAGTCGGTCAACTGCTCCTAGAATTAACCACGTACCTCCTTATCCAATTAGTAGAATGTATAACCCTCTCTGATGTCCATGTGGAAAGCCAATCTTAACCTTCAAACTAAAAGCAAGTCAAAATTTTACTGGGAACCCTATAACACATGTAGTTAAAATGAAATAAAATAAAATAAGATAAAATGAGATAGCTAAAATCTATAACACCCAGTCAAGGAAAAGGGCAAAGAAGGCAGGGAAGAAAGATGCCATCTTAATGAATTCCAAGGTTATTATTTTTCCCTTTTATAAGAAATTTGCTATTTTTTTTCATCTTGACTAGCCCACCAAATAAAAAGTTTATTATAAAGCAGGAAATGCCATCTGTGTCCAATGCATCACTACATAAAGTGCTTCACTTCCTGTTATATTCTTTTGCACATCTTTGTTCACTGATGAGTATTTTTCCACCTGGGATGGTAGCCTCCTAGTCTATATTCACCCACAAGGACCTTTTACTTCCTAGCTCATTTTCATATATAACTCCTTTAATTTCCTGTTTGGAATCCACCTGTAGAATTGGACTTCCTGTTCTCCATCAACATCCTGTTTAATGAGTGCACTGAAAGTATCTTCATTTCTTATTCTAAGGAATAGGAAGATGTACCTTATACTTAAACATGCATGTGAGCCTATAAATATATGTACATATGCATGCAAATCTATACACACAGAGGGGGTTAGTTTCACAGAAGTTAAGGCTATTAAAATTGATCTTGGGAACAAAATAATATACCTTTTTCCAGGCATTCAACCTTCCATGGAGACAGAGAAAGAAAGATTGTGAGAGGGAGACACACACATTCAGATGAGCCTTCAGGGAATTGTTTGAACTTTTGAACCAGAGATGGAGAGCCAGAGATGGAGAGCCAGAGCCCAGCCTGTTCCCACTTTAATAAACATTTTTTTCTTCAATTAATTAAGGTTTGGAAAGAAAAAAAATCACAGAAGAGAAGTAATTTAGCATGGAGCGCATACTTTACAGATGGATCCTACCTTCGGATGCTTATTAAATCTATGCATGATTGCGCTGGAGAAAATTAATCGCATTGTTTCTCACTATTCAAAAGGGGTTTGCAAACAGCACGAAAATAAAAAGGAAAATGAAGCAAGGGTCATTGTTGTTTCTTCAGTTGTTTTTGTTTTTTTTTCCTTCTTTCAAATAACAACCTTAAGAATGGGATCCTTAAAAACAAGTGATTCCTACAATAGGAATTGCAGTATGGATGACTTAAAAATGTTTTTTTTTTTAATTTCAAGTTAATAAAATGCTACATAAGCTCCAAGAATGCATATATTTGTTTTAAGTTTTCAAATATTCTAGCATAACCAAAACTTCTGACTCAGTGGCCTCTGAACTATTCAATTAAGTGGGGAGTTTTTGTCCAGCTCCTGCTGTGAAGAAAGAGTTACATGAGCAGCTGGGGGTGCCCAGGAGGACAAATGCTCTGTATCTTGGCTGGCTGGTATCCCCTCATCTTTGCAAAGAGTGAATTTCTTTGGACTTTTAAAGTAAAAAAACCCCACAAGATTGCTATTAAGATATCTAGGAAGAACAAAAGGTGAATATTTGTGCTTCATCAGCTTTTATAAAAGCCTGGCTGTCTTAGACTCAAGTTGCCTTTGCCCCCTCCTCAGGCTTGGTAGTGGCAGATGAACTGTAACCTCACCCAGACTGCCCCGAAAATGACCTTCGTCAAACTTGAAAGGGCTACTCTCCTTCTAAGGGGTGAGAGGATGAATCATTTATTTTCTAAACTCACTCACTTCCAGGTTCTTTCAAGAATAGATCCTAGCAATGCAACTTTACAGACACTGGTTGTGCTATGTGACTCACTCTCTGTTGTGGACTGGCTGAAAGCTATCTGACACATTTCACTTAAGAACCTCCAGATAGACTTGAACTTATGGCCCTAGGGTCTAAAGATCATGGTGTTTTTTGTTATATGTAGGGGTTTTTTTTTCTTAGAAAACTCAGATGAATATAACTCAAGGTCTCACCAGCTCCTTGTTCTGAAAATTTTATTTTTTTATTTTTTTATTTTTTTTGTTCTGAAAATTTTAAAGTCTATCTCATGACACATATTTTAAATTTTTGCCAAGTACTCAAGAATGGAATAAGGATAAAACAAAGACACCACTTCTTAAATGGAAGGGATTTTGTCTCATGTATGACAGTGACTTTCACAAGACGTGGGGAAAGGAAAAACTATGGATAAATTAACATTGGCATTTATTATATGGTCCTTTTCACATGGAGATGTTAAATAATAGCAAGAGATATGATCTCATGAAAGGGTAAATATGGCAATCTTCCACATTTCAGAGCTGGACCAAATAGAAGCCAAACTTCAAATCAAAGATATTCATTCCCTTGTTTCATTTTCTAAGATCCAGACATATTCTCGTGCCAGGGTGCCAATTAACTGAAACCAAGATTTCATCAGAGCTCATAAACTTAGCTGGTTCAGTCTAGGTCATTACTAGAATGGCACAATTTAGGGAGAAAAATCCAAATTATGCAGAGAAATGAGTCAGAAACCAAGTTGATATCCCAAGATATGATGACTGCATTTGACTTGGTACTGCTAAAGTTATCCTTAATATGACATAACAATTTTTGTTCAATGGCCATTCCTTCTTTCACTCATTCATTCAACAAGCACTTAATTTGTAGTAAATCTTACCGTGTCTCAGTCACTTAGTTTAGATGTTAGCGATATAAAGACAAAAACAGTCTTTAAAGTCAAGCAATTTACATTCTGTGAGGGTTGGAGGGAGCAACATTATACAGTTAAGAAAATAAAAAGCATATATGTGAAGTTATTAACTTGTGACCACTAGGCTCACCACTTTTATATTTGTATTTCCAGCACTTAGCATGGTACCTGGAATATGGCAGTGTTTAATCACTGCTTGTTGATTGACTGAAGGATAGCCAATGCAGATAGCTGAAATCAATATCTAGGTTAGGGGTTCTTAATATGGGGTCCAGATTTCAAGGCATGCATGAACTTAGATTGGAAAAAAAATTTACATCCTTATTTTCACTAATTTCTGACTGAAATTCAGCATTTCCTTCAATTATTTAAAAACATTTATTCTGTGAAAGGGTTGACAAAAGGGTTCATGACAGAGAAAAGACTAAGAATTCCTGGACTAGGATAATAGATATAGAGATAGAAATGAGAGAAGAGAGGTCATCTAATCCAACCCTCTTATTTTACAGATAAAGAATCTGAGGGCCAAAGAGGTAAATGACTTATATGTCATCTCCACTTGAATCTCAAAACACCCTTGAGAGAGAGTACTACAATTGTCATGTTAGCCCATGGTCATACAGCAAAATATCAAAGATAGATTTTGATCGTAGGTCTTTCAAGACCAGCACTCTATCTACTACATAACAGACCAACAGAAGTGGAATCAAATTAGCATCAAAAATGCTTTTACCGTGACAAAGGGGGCTATATGAACTATTTAGTCAGCCAGCCCAATACATTTTGGTCACTCCAAGGAAAATAGGTTTGTTTGTTTTTTTTAAACCTTACCTCATCCAAGTCATCTCACCTCTTACTGAAAAGTTTAAGCTGCATCCTGAATGATTCAGGGAAGAAACCAGGACTGTGAACCCTTCCTTCTTTAGAGAGATCTGTTTCTTCTACTTGCTACTTCTTAAACTTGGGCAGCCATCCTTAAAGATATGCTGCTTGTGAGTGACTGCAAGAATCACTTCATTGCAATGTCTGTCCCATTAGTCTAAATTCTTATAAATGTTCTTTTCCTCCTAACATTTGTTCTGAAGTCACCTTATTTGTAGTAGGATTCCTTTATTTCCTCTACCATACTGCTTGTGTGTACCCTAAAGACAATTCCTCTATTTCAACCACCGTAGTTTGTAGTTTACAGTCCGAGGACATTCTCCAGGTGGTATCTCAGCACCACCATACAAATAAATTATTAACATCTTTTAGATTATGCCCAAGAATAAGTATTTACACACAGTTAAAAATTTCAAGTCATGAAACCTCTGAACAGCATCAGTGATATATGCTATGACTGGGCCAATTTAGGTGTTTGAGAAGAGAAACAAAAATTTAGAAATTCAGATGAGTACAGAAAAGTAGAAGATGATGAAACTCACTATCACAAAGACCCTGAAAACTCAGAATTGGTCTCAGATTTTGACATCTATAAAGGTAAAAAACAAAACAACAGTAATAGCTCAACCGATTAAGAGCTGGAAGAAACTTTAAAAACCAATGAGTTCAATTCCCTTATTTTATAGAGGAGAAACAGAGATACAGAGCCTAAAGAGTGGGCAGGGGTGGGTGGTAAGCAACTTGTTCAAGATTACTGAGATAACTGCCAGAACCTGGATTTGTACTCCTTTAACTATCTTTCCACTGGCAATATTCTTCAGTGCTCATTTTCATTTCTTACACATTTTACAATTAGTAAATGTTGCTTTCTGTCAGTAAAGTGCTTACTTTTGGATGAGGAACAAACTTCTAGGAACTTTTAAGTTGATTTAGCAAATCATCTCTTTTCCTTAGAGCAGAACTTACTTCCCAGAAAAAAAGCTAATCCCCCCCCAAAGGGTAAATAGTTTAATCACTTTTGGATAAAGTTTAATATTTCCTAATCTCCAGTGCAATTACTATTTGGCTTAAGTTTAATTAAATTCACCTTCTATGGAGGGTGCGGCATATGGTAGCAGACAGTAATGTAAACTGTTGGACCTCAGCAGTATGCTGCATTTTAAAAGAGGGACTGAGAAATCTGGCCTGAGAAATAAAAAAAAAGAGCTGATGGGAAAAGAGCCATTATATCCATCAGTGATAACTCTCTCCCAAAGAATGACCTGATCCAGCATGAGATTCGGCATCGGGAGGACACCAGTAGTAACACTTCATGTGGTGTGTTTATATTTATAGTTCATAAAACACCTTTGAATTCTTCTGGATGAGAAATACTATATAAATGTGAACATTATCATTTTGTTGGGGTGATCACGGATTGTTGACATCTCAACATAAACTGCATTTCAATATTCAAAGGGACATAAACTCTTATATGTGGATTTTCATTTTCTACTACCATTTCTACCCTGAATTGTAACATATTCAATGGGGCATACCCTTGTTGGCTGCTCTCTCACTCTCTTTTCTGAATTTCCTTTTTCTTTCATTTATCTCCATGGTGCCTGTTCCCATTCAGTCTCATTTGCCTCTGTTCTTGTAAGCTATAATCTTAAAACAAGAAAACATATACATTGAGTCTATGTGATGTGGATTTCTGTGTTTAACAGAGAAGAGCCACATAACCTCCAGACTTCTTAAAGAACGAAAGTTGTTGGTGATGCTGGCATAAGAAACATGGCAGGCTAAGAGACTGCTGTGATCTCAAGGTTCACTCAGAAGGTGCCTTGGTAGGTGATGAATACTAAGCCAGCAATGCATGTATACATACATACATACATACATACATACATACATACATATACACATACATATTACACACACACACATACATCTAGGGCAACAGAAAGCCGTATTTGTTCAGGAGTGGAAAATTCACATTAGAGATTTTGGCTGAAAATTCTCCCTTATAATGAACAAGCTAAGGTCCTCAGAGACTTAAAATACAAATATTGTACAAAAAGAAGTCCTTGTGATTGCCCCTGGAATGATGGGGTCATGTTTCTCACACAGATGAAGATGAATGAGGACTACTTAACCCTAACGAGAAAGTGGATTCCAGAACCTTGTCTTTTTTTTCTTACCATTTATCTCTACTCTTTCTCTCATTAAGATAAAGCTCCCTCTACACTCAGATTTCTTTCATCTTCCTCATGGTTGAAGAAATAGCAAGAAGCAGCTAGAGAGAGAAGTGAATAGAGGGCTGAAATGGAGTCAGAACAACTTGTGTTCAAATCCAGTCTTAGATACTTACGAGCTATATGATCCTGGACAAATCATACCTCTTTTTCAAGCCTCAATTTCCTCATCTGAAAAACTGGAATAATAATAGCACCTACCTTCCCAGAGTTGTGGAGATAAAATTAATAAATCATTACAAATAATTTTGAAAGCCTTAAAGTACTAT